TACAAATATATATATATATATATATATATATATGTACAACTTATTCGAGCCATTGCATTAAGTATATGCATACAACTTGTTCGAGTTGTTGCGCTAAGAGAGCTTTCTTTTCTTCATTTGCGTTTAGGGAATAATGCAATAATAAGGTTAGTTTGCGTACTGCACAAGCAGCAAACCCTGAAGGTTGTCAGGCGGGTAAAGACCCTTAACAACCCACACAAACGTATTTGTACGCATATATATATGGATATATAATATGTATTCATGCATATTTGCATTATGTAAGGGGATTAAATATTCTGCACACACAGACCTATCCATGTACATGTGCACATATATTGCAACTATTTATTTATATATACTTAATCGGGTTGATAGCTGATAAGTTTATACATTATCATTGCCAATCAGTGCAAATGCACAAAGGCCCAGAAGACCCCGTAATATCTAAACCCAAAATACGCCGGCACAAGCGGAAAAGAAAACAATTAAGTTGTTAGGTGAAAGTTTTGCTTGTTCCCCTCCACCTCTCCAGGGATAGCAAATGCGCTACAGCAGCAGCTGCTGTTGCTCCAGTCAAGAACACCCATGTGCTGCTAAGCCGTAGCCTCACTTCCCTCCCTCTGCTGCTGTTGCTGCTGTTCCTGCGGCTGTCCGGCAGTTTTCCCTTCATCAATGTCCATGGGAGTGCTATCTGCAGCACCAGCAGCTGCAGCAGAAGCCGCTGCAGCAGAGGGACCTGCACTAGTACCAGGTGCAACGGGGGGCGCTGCAGCAGCAGCAGCTCCAGCCACTGTCGCTGCAGCAGCCGACACCGCAGCATCCGAAGCCGGCGCTGTAGCATTCAAAACATTTAGTGCTGCAGCAGTATCAGCATCGGCGTCCGTTGCCATGTCTTCTACTGGAGCCAAAGCCCTCGAAGCAGCCGAAGGACTTACAGCCTCGTTTTGCTGCGGGGTGCCCCCATCCCCGCTGCCTCCGCTCTCAGAAGCAGCAGCAGCAGCAGCAGCAGCAGCACAACGCGTTGCTACATTTGCTGCCCGCGCTTTGCTGTTGCTGTGCTTCTGCTCCAGTAGGAACTCTTCTCCCTTTTGAATGCTGTCGAGGATTTCGCTCAAGGCCTCACAAGACGCCTGCAGCAGCAACACAGCAGGCAGCAGCAGCAAGCAACGACCCACATCAGATAAAAAGCAAACCAACAGCGAGTGCAGATACAGACACAACTGCAGCAGCAGAAGCAATGGACTGAAGAGCTCATCTACGGACGCAAGAGGAATGCGTAGCACCAAAACCAGCAATACTGACGGCCTCAGCAAGCAGCAGCAGCAGCTTCAACAACAGCAACAGCAGGCCCAGCCCCAGCAGCCTCTGTCCAGCAGCAACGGCAACAGCAGCCGCACCCACAGCGAGAGTTATTCGCCCGCAGCAGCAGCAGCAGCAGCAACTCACCTTTTTCATTGGAAGAAGATCAAATCTGTCGGAGTGAAATAGATAAAAGAGACGCTGCATGCGCTGGACAAAGAAAGGGTTGCTGCAGCAGCTGTCCTCGGGCGCCACACCGCTGTCAGGGCTGCTGTCTTGCTGCAGCTTCAAGTGATAATCCTCCAGCTTAAGCTTCAGCTTCTCTGTCAGCCCCAGCTACAGGCAAACGCAAATAATAAATATAAATATATAAATGTAAATATATTGATGTAAATACATCAATATAAATATACATATAAACAATATATATATATATATATAGAAACCAACAAACATATTATTACAAACACATTATTATAGACAATGTAAAACAAACAAAAAGAAGAAACAAGTGCCTAGAGATAATAATAAAAGCCAGTAAACACACCGCTGCAAACATATAATATTTAATCAATAACAACGTATCATAGAAACAATAGAAAGGAAGAAAGAAGAAAAGACAACAAAAAATAGTCAAAGAACGAAATACAAAACAAACAAATCGAAGAACAAATAAAGGCCAGCAGAGAGAGACAGCAAATATGCAAAAGGAGACACCAAAAACAACTAAAGCAAACAAAACAAATTAAATAGATAAATGAATAAATAAGTACAGACGACCAAACAAATAAAGCAAAGAAGCAAACAAATAAATAGACAAATAAACAACCAGGCTAACAAACAAATAACATAAACAAACACACAAACAACCAAACAAACAATCACTCTGTCTCGTTTCTTTTCGATAGAGACCGACAAACAAACAGAGCAAAACATGCTGCAGCAAAGAAATAACACGAGCAGCAGCAGTATCAGCAGCACTCTCCCCCAACCTACAACTACTGGCGCTACCGCTGCTGCTGCTACTTGCTGTTGCTAGTTCTGCTGCTGCTGCTGCTGCTGCAGTGTATGCACTGCATTTGGGATGTATGCGGACCTCTAGGTAGTTTTCAGGGGGTTGTTTGTCTTCCAGCAAGCACCATTCTTCTGCCTGTCGCAGCAAAGATATGGGAGGTGGCTGCAGCATCGGATAAGGCGCTGCCGCTTCTGCTGCTGCTGCTGTTGCTGCTCCTGCTGCTGTTGCTGCAGGCGTTTCCCATAACAGCAACCAGTCGTAGAAATCGTCCAGGCTTTCTGCTGCTGCGCCGCCTGTACACCCCAACAGATATAGGGACACATGCACCAGCAAAAGCCCTTAGGTAGTCAGCAGCAGCAAACCAAACACTGGCAGCTGCTGTTGCTGCAGTTGGTGCTGTTGCAACTGCTGCTGTTGCCAGTGCTGCTGCCACTGCTGCTGCCGCTGCCAACCCCGCCACACAGGAGCAGGTGCAGCCTTGACAAGAGCTGCAGCAGCAATTGCAGTAGCAGAAGTAACAGCTGCAAAAGCAGCAACAGCAAGTGCAGCAGCAGTAGTGGCAACTGCAACAGCAGCACTAGCAGTTGCAGCAGCAGCAGCAACTGCAGTACCAAGGCTTACTCCGTGCTTTGGGTCTCTTCTTCCGGGGGGACGCCGCATCAGCAGCAGCAGCTGCTGCTGCTTTCTGGAGTGCCTCAGCTACTTCAGCAGCAGGCTGCTGCGCAACAGCAACAGCTGCTGCTGCTGCTGCTGTTAGGCCTTCCGCGTCACTGGCGTCCACCCTTGATGTGGAATTCGGAGGATGCTTCTGCTGCTGTTGCTGCACTGAGCTGTCCTTACCTGCTGCTGCAGCAGCAGGTGCAGCAGCAGCACTTACGGGACTTGAAAGAGCGCGGATAGCAATATCTCCGCAGTGCTGCAGCAGCGCCACATTGGGCTTGGCGCCGCTATCTCGGCAGGCAGCCTGTGCTGCTGCAGCAGGAACAGGAGCAGGAGCAGCAGCAAACGGCGTCAAGACATCATTCGTCAGCGGCAGCAAAGCCTCTTCAAAGCTACTGCGGCCCTTCCACAGCTGCCACAACTCCTCCGTGCACATCAGCTTCCACATGGGTGTCGCCTGCAAGCTGCTGCTGCTGTTGCTGCTGCTGCTGCTTGCTGTCGGAGAACAGTACAAGACACAACCGCAGCTGTTGCAGCGTGAAGAGGGAAAGGCGAGCCGAGACACCCGAAGGACGCAAACGAACAGCTCACGCAGAGAGTCCTTTGCCTGCAGCAGCAGCAGCAGCAGCAACAACAGCAGCAGCAACTGCAGCAAGAGAGCAGTGCTAGACACAAAGCCTCTGGACGGAACCGCATGGGCAACGGCGAATACAGAAAAGCAGCATTAACAAGAGCAGCAAGAGCAGCAGCAACAGCAGCAGAAGTAGCAGCAGCAAACCCCTACCTTCGCGTCGAGCGCGTTGAAACTGCTTCGGGCTTTGGCCACGAGTGCAGCAGCAGCAGCAGATGGCTGCTTGTCCGTCTCTTCCTTTTGCTGCTGTTGCTGCGGCTGCTGCCAGCAGCAGCTGCTGAGTGTCTGTAGCGCCAGGCAGCAGCGGCAGCAAAATTCACTGAAAAACAATGGGGTGTACAGACAGCCTCTGAATGCTGCTGAGCCGAAAGCCAACGAGTCCATACAGCTGGAAGGCTGCTCCAGCATACGCAACAACTCGCTGCTGCTGCTGCTGCTGCTGCTGCTGCTGCTGCTGCTGCTGCTGCTGCTGCTGCTGTCCCCACCTGCGGTGGCAGCAGCAGCCGCAGCAGCTGCTGCAGCCGCTGCTGCAGCCGCTGACGGAACATCGGAACACGAAGCTGTCGTGTCCGTCGCTGCTGCTGGTGCTGCTGCTGGTGTGGCTGCTGCTGCTGCAGGCCGCTTTGTCGCTGACCTGCCGCAGTAGAGGCACACCGTGCAGTTGCTGCCGCTGCTGCTGTTGCTGCTCCTGCTCTTAGCATGCTGAGCCTCCAAGTAAGTGAGGACCTGCTCAGTTGCTGCAGCAGCAGCAATTGTCGCCTCGCTGCCTCTGGCCAACACGAGGTCCGGGGCTTGTAGGAATTGCTGCAGCACAGCAGCAGCAAACCGGGCAGCAGCAACAACCAATCAATGCAGCAGCAGCAATAAACGCAGCAGCACCTGGGATGTTCACTAGACGTATGGCAGTACTTCTAGCAGCAACAGCAGCAGCAGCAACACACTTGGCAGTCTATAAATGCGCGGTAAATTGAATAGGGGCAGTCGCCGCCTTCAGGTGTATCTGCAGCTCCTAAAGAACACTCCCTGCAGCAGCAGCAGCAACAACAACAGCAGCAGAAGCGGTGCATGGAAGAAGCTCGCACAAGCCCAAACCCGAAACCCTAAACCCTAACCCCTAAACCCTAAACTCTAAACCCTAAACCCTAAACTCTAAACCCTAAACCCTACCGCCAAGTTGATTCGCTGTCTATGTGAGCCTTTGGCGTTTCGGCTCGCTGCAACGTCCGATTAGAAACTGCAGCAGCAGCAGCAGCAGCAGCAGCACAAAGAAGGACGATGCAGCAGCAGCAGCAGCAGCAGCACAAAGAAGGAGGATGCAGCAGCAGCAGCACCAGATGCAAACCGGGAGCAGCCAACGAAGATCTCCGCAAAAACTGCAGCAGCAACGACTGCAGCAGCAGCAGCATACCTCCAGCGTGGGTTAGGGCAAGCGTCTCCGCCAGCAGCAAACGCAGCCTGCGACAAATTGTACATACACCTCAGTTTAGCCGCAGCAGTCTCCTGGCAGCAACCGCAGCAGGGTCAACGGCAGCAGCAGCAGCACCATCCGGAGCAGCAGCAAGCAGCAGCAGCAGCAGCAGCAGCACAAAGAAGGAGGATGCAGCAGCAGCAGCACCAGATGCAAACCGGGAGCAGCCAACGAAGATCTCCGCAAAAACTGCAGCAGCAACGACTGCAGCAGCAGCAGCATACCTCCAGCGTGGGTTAGGGCAAGCGTCTCCGCCAGCAGCAAACGCAGCCTGCGACAAATTGTACATACACCTCAGTTTAGCCGCAGCAGTCTCCTGGCAGCAACCGCAGCAGGGTCAACGGCAGCAGCAGCAGCACCATCCGGAGCAGCAGCAATAGCAACAGCAGCAGCAGCAGCAGCAACATACTCGAATATGAGGTGCGAGTGAGGAGACAGCCGCAGCCTCTCCTCCACCGCCTTCACCATCCCAATTACCTTCGCTCCTGCAACCTGCAGCAGCAGCAACAGCAGCGGCAGCAGCAGCAGCAAAATGTAGGTGCAGGAGAGCCGCAGCCCCACAAGGTTGAGTTCAGAATCACTTGAGTTGCTGCTGCTGCTACTCTCGGCGACAGCAGCAACAACAGCAGCAAGTCGGGGGAAGAAACAAGGTGCTTGCTGCAGTTCGCTGCTGCCATTGCTGCTTCTGCTGCTGTTGGTCGTAGCACACCTGCATGCGTCTCCTGTTCTCTGCTGCTGCTGGTGCAGCAGCAGCAGCAGTACCTGCTGCTGCTGATTTGTCTTCTTTATTTTTTCGTTTAAATGCCTCCGCACAGAGCCGACGATTATCACGGAGAAGATTGACAACAGCAGGCAGCGACTGCAACGGCACCAACTGCAGCAGCAGCAGCAGCAGCAACAGCAGCAGCAACAGCAACAGCAGCAGGGAACGGGAAAGATCGTGTTTCAAGGCCCTAGATGCGTCGATTTTCTGTTGTTGCTGCTGCTGCTGATGCTTCTTCTTCTATGTGCGCTGCTGCTGCCGCAGCCGTACTGCTACTCCTACTGCTACTGCTGCTACTGCTGCTTCTGCCTGCTGTTGCTGCTGCTGCTGCTGCTGCTGCTTGCCTTGCTAAACTCCGCAACAAAGTCGACAAGGACGTTCAGGTCTAAGGTGGGGCAGGCCTGAGGTGTACCCTCAGCTGGCAGCAGCAGAAAAAGAAGATGAAGACAGCCCAGCAGCAAATCTGTCTTTGCTGCAGCACTAACGGACCCCTCCGCCTGCAGCAGCAGCAAACGCAGCAGCAGCAAAAGCAACAGCAGCAGCAGCAACACAAAGAAATGAACACAACCGAACAAAACAGACAAACGCAAACCAACACAAAAACAACAAACAGAAATCATAGAGAAAATAAATAAATATAAAAAAGAGACAAAGACACAAAGACAAACAAATAAATAATGAAGACGAGGAGAAGACACATACATATATATACATATATAAACATAAATATAAATATATATATATATATATACATATATACGTACAAAGATATATATATATATATATACATATATATACATATAAATATATATACATATATATGTAAATATAAATATATATATATATACATGTCGTGTTTGTATTTATCTTTATTATATATATATATATATACATTTGTATATTTATATGTATATATATCTTTATATACATATATTGTATATATATCTGTATACATACAAATCTACAAACATATATATATATATATAATAAAGATAAATACAAACACGACACAGCTAAATAAAAATATAAAACAAAGACACAAATAAAGACAAACATAAAAATGAAATAAAGGTGTAAAATAAGAAGAGACAACAATATAAAGACAGAGACAAGACGAAGACAAAGAGACGAAAATAGATAAATAAAGACAGCAGCAAACATGTCCTGCTGCTGCTGCTGCTGCTGCTGTTGATGGGGGGGCTGGTCGCAGAGCTGTTTGCTGCTGCTGCATCTGCTGCATCTGCTGCATCTGCTGCTGTTGCTTGTTGCTGCTGCCAATGCATCTTCACTTACACCACGCCCTTCCGTCAGCAGCAAAAACAAGGAAGCAAAAAACCCATTTGTTTGTTTATCTTCTAATCCTGCTGCTGCTGCTTCTGCTGCTGTTGCTACTGTCCCTGCAGCAGCACCAGATGCAACTGAAGATGATGCAGCCTTAGGGTCGAGAGCAGCAGCAACAAAGCCATTAAGAGGGTTCCTGGGGACTCGTTGCTGCAGCAGGTTAGGAAGTTGCTGCAGCGAGATCGCCGCTGCTGCTGCTGCTGCTGCTGTAGTTGCTGCTGCTCCTGAAGCCCCAGCTGCTGTTGTTGCTGCATCTGCAGCAGCAGCAGGAGCAGCAGCATGCGACAACATGTTTGCTTGATACCGCAACCCAGCTTTAGTCTCGTAGAAAAAGTAGTTGAGGCAAAACCACAAACCCTAAACCCTCAATGCCTCCAAACCCTAGACCCTAAACCCTGATTGTGCTTCTCACATATCGTTATTAATAAATATAAGCGAATTTTAGACGAAGAAACTCCCAGTGATCTAAAAGTGCCGAGCAGCAGCAGCAGCAGCAACAGCAGCCGCTGCTGCTGCTGCCGCTGCTTGCATGCAAGTTGCAGCAGAGGTGAAATCTACGGTGTATAGGCAGCTGAAAGAAAGGGTTTGTAGCGAGGAAGAAGAGGGGGTGAAAAGCCTTTAAAAAAGGATATTAAATTTAATTAATTATATTTAATTAAATTGTTTTACTAAAAACAAACTTATTTATTTTCTTTAGAGGAGTCGGCTGTCGTACGGCTGTCTGCATCTCGCGCTGTCACCCTCCCCTTTTGTATTGTTGTGTATATTTTCGTTTTTAAATTGACAATTAGAATTAAAAATATTAAATTAATGACATAATAAAAGTAAAAAAAGAAGCGCCAGCGAGGTGTACGTACAGCTCAGCTACACAATACCCCCCACGTTGTACTGGGGGTCAACGGCATCGTAGAGTAGATCGAGTTAAAGGCTACAAATTGAGTTAATTGTTTGATTAATGAAATTAAATATTCTTTTTAATGAAAGAAGGCTGACAGCTGCGCAGACACCCGAAGAGATTCATAGTAGACCGGGCTGCAGCAGCAGCCGCTGGTGTGGCTGCTGCTGCGCAGCAGCAGCAGCACACGGCTTTGCCGCAGCAGCTCCTTCATATTGATTTTTTGTATTTTCTTCTGTTTAAATTCTGCAAAATGGCACCGCTAATGCGTCCAATCTCGTCAGCTGCTGCGAGTTGCGCAGCTTGTCTCTCCGGGCGGCTGCCTGCTGCAGCAGCTGCAGCAGCAGCAACAGCAGCAGCAACAGCAACAGCAACAGCAACAACATCCATGCACCAGCAGCAGAGACAACTACACACCTCAGGTGTACGTACAGCAGCCACGAAAATCTCCCCCTCTGAAATGGCATCACTTCTGGAGCAGAGAATCGGCGGCTGGACAGCACAGGTAAGGGCTGCATGCGCTAGGGTTTAGGGTTTAGGGTTTAGGGTTTAGGGTTTTGAGATGACTCTAGGCTGTTCTGCATCTGGGGTTTGTGTTAGGGTGTTCTGCGCATGGTGTCTAGGCGGCAGAGGGCTGCGGGTGTGTCCGCCTGCGGGCTCAGGGTTTAGGGTTTAGGGTTTAGGGTTTAGGGTTTAGGGTTTTTTGTGGGGTCTTCAGCAAAGCTCTGCTGGGGAGATGGGAAAGGTCTTTTCTGTTGGAGATGGGATCGCTCGCCTCCTCGGCCTTGGGAACGTCCAGGCAGGGGAATTGGTTGAGTTTCAATCGGGAGCCCTCGGTGAGGGTTTAGGGTTTAGGGTTTAGGGTTTAGGGTTGAGGGCTGCACGTTTAGGGTTTAGGGTTTAGGGTTTAGGACCGACGGCTTGTGGTCCTGGGGTTAGGTGTATGGGAGTTTCAGGGGTTTAGGGTTTAGGATTGAGTGCGGTTTTAGGGTTTAGGGTTTAGGGTTTAGGGTTTAGGGTTTGCCTGCGTTTAGGGATGGCCCTGAACTTGGAAAGAGATAATGTGGGGGCTGTCATCTTCGGCGACGATCGGTAGGCGGTCGCTTTAGGGTTTAGGGTTTAGGGTTTAGGGTTTGAGGCATTTGGGGTGTACGTGCAGTGCATTGGGTTTGTCTGCTGTCTTGCTGAATTCTTGTTTAGGGTTTAGGGTTTAGGGTTTAGGGTTCAATTTTTGTTTTCTTGCCTCTGGCCCTTCTTCTTTGTTTGTTTGCTTCGTCTGCTGCTCCCTGTCTCCGCTTTAACAAGTATATAAACATCTGCTGCTTATAAACAAATGCCGCTGCGTTTTAATGTTACAATGCTGGGGTGTACGTACAGCGCAATTTGTGAAGGACAGTCTGTGAAGAGGACGAAAAGAATCGTCGATGTCCCCATCGGCCCTCAGCTTCTAGGCAGAGTTGTTGATGCTCTGGGGGAGCCTATAGACGGAAAGGTATTTCTCTAGGGTTTAGGGTTTAGGGTTTAGGGTTTAGGGTGGCTATTGTTCCTCCACTGCTGGGAGTGTATTGGATGGCTTGGGGAGCCTATAGACAGGTCTTTATTAATATGCTTATTTATTTATTTATTTATTTATTTATTTATTTATTTATTTATTGCTTCTTTTAGTTGTATTCATTTATTATTTCATCAGTTTACTCATGTTGTACCCAAGTAGTTGTCGAAAACATCAGTCTATGCTGCTGCTGCTGCTGCAGCAACAGCAGCAGCAGCAGCAGCAGTAGCAACAGCAACACCAGCAAGAGCAGCAGCAACAGCAGCAGCAGCAACAGCAGCAGCAGCAACAGCAACTCCAGCAAGAGCAGCAGCAACAGCAGCAGCAGCAACACCAGGAACAGCAGCAGCAACTGCAGCAGCAGCAGCAGCAAGAGCAGCAGGATAAGCATTGCATGGAGAGGATGAATTGTTTTGCATGCATTTTTTTCTTAGGGACCGATAGGGGCCAAAGAAAGACGAAGAGTTGAGCTAAAGGCGCCAGGTGAATCACAAGTTCGATCTAGGGTTTAGGGTTTAGGGTTTAGGGTTTAGGGTTTAGGGTTTGACATAAAGTGAGTGTTGTTGAGCTCGTTTTTTTCGGGATATTTCTGCGCATGCATTCTTCTTGTGATGGATATAGTTTGATAGATTGGATGTGGTTTAATTTAATTAATTTGTCGTTTCTTTTTTCTTTCTTTCTTAGGCATTATGCCCCGACGAAGTGTACATGAACCCATGTCTACGGGTCTCAAGTGCGTAGACGCTTTAGTGCCGATAGGCAGGGGACAGAGAGAGTTAATAATAGGAGATAGACAGACAGGGAAGACATCTGTAGCTAGTAAGCTGGCTGTCTCCTTTTATTATTCTCGCCCTCTCTCTCCTTTGTTATGTTGTCTCTGTCTCCTTTGTTATATTTTATCTGTCTCCTTTTATTACTCTCTAGCTCTGTCTCCTTTGTCATGTTGTCTCTGTCTCTTTTGTTATATTGTGTCTGTCTCCTTTTATTATATTATCTGTCTCCTTTAATTATATTATCTGTCTCTGTCTCCTTTTATTATATTATCTGTCTCTGTTTTCTTTTATTACCTTCTGTCTCTGTCTCCGCCGAATCTTTTGTGTTTCTTTTTCATCGTTTTGTAGCGCTGTCTCTGTCTCCTTTTATTATGCTGTCTCTGCTGTCTCTTTTTGTCTCTTTTTGTCTCCTTTTGTCTCCTTTCTGTCTCCTTTTGCATTTACATGTGGAGCCAATTGAGTGTCTCTCCTTCGTCTGTCTCTGTTGTATTTCTGCTGTATCTCCCTTCTGTCTCCTTTTGTTCGTCTCCTTTTGTCTGTCTCCTCTCTGTCTCCTTTTGTTTGTCTCCTTTCGTTTGTCTCCTTCTGTTCGTCTCCTTTTGTCTGGCTTCTGTCTCTTTTTGTTTATATTATTTTAACTTTTTTTGTCTCCTTTTATGTTTAGGAAGCAGCATTTTTTGTATTTTCATCTGGTTAGTGTTTATATATCTCTCTTTAACTGTCTCTTCATCTGTCTCCTTGTTCTGTTTATTTATTTATTTATTAATTTATTTATTTGTCTGCTCAGTTGACGCTATCTTAAATCAGAAGGAGATAAACATGAAGGCGAAGACAGACAAAGAAAAACTTTTTTGTGTTTATGTAGCCGTAGGGCAGAAGCGATCCACAGTAGTAAGCAAAACTTATAACCCTTAGCTAGCTAACCAGCTAGCTAGCTAGCTATCTAGCTCAGCAGCTAGTCAGCTAGCTCGACAGCTAGCTGGTCAGCTATGCGCCTCTGTCTGTTCCTCAGTCTGCTCGGCTGACTGTATAGCAAACTCCCTATCTAGCTATCTAGCTAGCTAGCTCTATATATAGCTAGCTATCTAACTAGCTATCGTGCTAGCTATCTCACTAGCTATCGTGCTAGCTATATAGCTAGCTATCTAGCTATCTAGCTAGCTACATAGCTACCTAGCTAGCTATCTAGCTAGCTGTCTTGGCTGCTTAATTGTGTGTGCAGGCGCAAATTGTTCGTACACTTGAGCAGCACGGGGCGATGCAGTACACCACCGTCTTAGCAGCAACAGCTTCAGATGCTGCTCCGCTGCAGTTCTTAGCTCCTTATTCAGGATGTGCTATGGGGGAGGTTAGCTGCTGCTGCTGCTGCTGCTGCTGCTGCTGTTGCTGTTCCTGCTGCTGCTCCTCCTGCTGCTGCTACTGCTAGTACTACTACTACTACTACTACGCATGCGGATTTGCTGCTGCTGTTGCTGCTGCTGCACATCATACAACAGCAACTGTAGCAGTAACAGCAGCAGTAATATCAGCAGCAGAAGCAGCATGAGAAGCAGCAGGAGGAGTGAAGAGGAGGAGACAAGGAGACAGTTTTGGTTGCTTCTGCAGAGCAATAAATAAATAAATCCTTCTATTTCTCTGTCTATCTCAATTTATATTTATATTTATATTTATATATTTATATTTATATATTTATATTTATTTGTGTGCAGTGGTTTAGAGACAGCGGCAGACATTGCTTAGTAATATTTGACGATTTATCAAAGCAAGCAACTGCATACAGACAAATGTCTCTTCTTCTTCGACGGCCTCCAGGGAGAGAAGCATATCCAGGTATTATATTTATTATATTTGTTTGTTTCTTTATTATTATTATTATCTATTATTATCTATTATTATTTATTATTATTATTATTTAGTTTTTAGTTGTTCTGTTCATTATTCTCTGGTTCTCGTTGTTGCCTTTATTACTATCATCATATTATTATTAATTATTAATTATTTATTATTTATTATTTAATTATTTATTTTTGTTTTATTATTTTTGTTATTATTATTACTACTTTTGTATTTTTGTTTGTTTATTGTTATAGTTTACACGCTCTATAGATAAAATAATAATACTGATAACAATTATTATTATTATTATTATTATTATTATTATTACTATTATTATTATTATTATTATTATTATTTTATTAGTATAATTAGAAAAAGAGTAATAAAAATTTGTTTTGTTGTTTAAAAGTTTTGATTTGGGGCGATGACTGCGCACAAGACTGCGTTGTTATTAATAAATGCATTAACTCTATTTATATTTATATTTATATTTATATTTATATTATTATTTTGTTCTTTAAAGGCGACGTCTTCTACTTGCACTCGCGACTGCTGGAGAGAGCAGCAAAAATGAACGATAAATACGGTGGAGGCAGTTTGACAGCTTTACCGGTTATTGAGACACAAGCAGGTGTATATCCACCTCTCTTTATTGTCTCTTTATTGTCCCTTTATTGTCTCTTTATTGTCTTTTCACTGTCACTTTAGTGTCTCTTTATTGCCTTTTCACTGTC